TTGGGATTGGAGTGTCAGAGACGGTGCGATTGGCACAGGACAGAGTGGAGTTTAGGGCTGTTGTACATAGGGTCGCTATGAGTTGCAAGCGACTCGACGGCACATAACAACAACAACAACAACATTATTATCTCAGCTAGAGAACTCCTGTACCTAACATTTTGTCAAGGCAATTAAAAACAACACTCTTATTTCCCCATTTAGCTTCTTTTGGTCGCTTCAATCCTAAGAGACTACTAAATGGTTATTTCCTTCTCAAAATCATTTTAGATTTTTCAGAGATCTTTTCCGAACTGGACATATGACTCCCAAGTGGGGCTTCCAATGAGTTCAGTCATGCTGATAGAGTAAAATTAGTGCATTGAATGATAACCAGAACAGAAAAAATAATGAGTCAAAAATATGGAATTAGAGGCTAAGAAATATAGCTAGTCTTTTCAGGAGCCCAACATAGGAAGTCAGATTATTGCCAGAACGGTGAAGAGCAAAATAATTCAGAGTAATATAGTCGGCTGCCATTTTTGAGCTGGGCACCACTCTTTTGGACTGCAGGTCAAAAGCTTTGGTTGCTATTCAAAGCACATGCTGCCCTTGTGTTGCTTTCACTGGTCATGACTGAACTGGGTATAATCAGTTCACAGCCCTGCCTGCTTCTACCAACACCTGCTGAGTTAAGGATACCATTTGGACAGAACACCTTTGCCTATTTGTCTTCTTATTTTGTCTTTTATCTTACATATACTCCCTCACACATCTTTGGCTTACCTGTTTGGCTAAAAGGGTGCCAGGGTGCATCCTGCTGCCCCAGTTGAGAACAGCCAGCTTGAGAAGCCTGGAGACTGGCCTGGTAGAGAGACTCCAATTCTGAGGTCTCCTGCTCTGTGTCTTGGTTCCAATGTGGATGCAAAAGGATGTGGTTTCTTTCTGCATAAGCTATAAAGGTATGACAATCATGGTGGGAGGACTTTATTTCTGGTTCAGGGACCTCATATTTAAGCTGAGAATCATAGAGTCTTGTGACATTCACCCAGGAATCCAAAGGCAAGGAAGTCCCCAAGTCAATGCTGCTGGCTGGCTCCCTAGGCCAAGCATCTCTCACTTGGGATGGCTTCCCTTTGTATGGACCTGGCTCCACCAACCTGGACTGTCCTCCCCTTGAAGTTTCACCATTAGGCAACCCAGAGTTCAGAGCAAGAGCCTGATGGTCAGTAGGCTCTTCCCAGGAAGGTAGACTGTCCCTACGGTCCAGAGAGGTTGTTGGTTTTGCCCAAGGCCGGTGGTCTTTCCCTTGATCTTGCGGGAAAGGAGGCTTAGATTCAGAGGGAGAAGAATGCTTCCTTAGACTATGTGGCAAACTTCTCTCCTGGGAACCTATACCATCCTTCATGGAGGTGCATTGCATCCTCTGGAACTGCTCTGCCAGAGAGCGAACAAGCCCCTTTGTGTTAGGAAATTCTGACTTATAGGACTCTTCACTATTTCTATCCACTTTTGGAGTCAATGAAGTTTTGGGGCTTTTGGCTTGGAGGCACTGGTTAGTTTTCTGCACAGGATCAGGAGATTGAAGCACTGATGAGGAACCAGCAGGCATTATGGGGTGGCAGTCCTTGTACAGGGGAAGACCTGGCTCAGCTGATGAATGTGAAGGGCTATGGGGAGGGCTGTATGCCCCTCTTCTCTCCGAGGTGGCTGTTCCAACTGGATGTGACCAAGGCAGCACCAGGGAAGGATCAGCAGGATCTTTCTTTTCTTGAAATAGTTTTTCTTGAGCAATGCTTCTTTCTTCTTGTGGGTGGATCCTGCTAGAACTGTTACTGTCAGTTCTATAGCCTTGCAGCTTACTCTCTGGAGTATCCAGTGGTTCCCATCCATGATGAGAATTATTCTCAGTCCTCCCTGGTGTTTTAGGTAAGCCCTGCCTGTGGAATGCAGAGAGTTCAATGGAGTCTACTACGACTGAAGTCGGAAGGTGTGAGGCAGATCTGTTAGAGAAGCTGTGCTGTGGGGCAGTTGGGGCAGGTGACTCAGGAAATAATGACGCAGGTGACTCATGGCAGGAAGCATTTGAATGTAAGAAAGAGCTAGCCCCAAACTCTGTGTCTGTGCAGGGTTCCAGCTGGGCCTCCTGGCTCAACAATATTTGGAGCGGGATAGGTTGTTCACTGAAATAAACAGAAAAAGCCAGTCATAAGCTGCCTTAGTTGATAAGAAAAATACCCAAGCCTCTCCTCCCCCATTCATTCCATTTCCAACTATCCACTGAGGCAATGATGAAAAGAAATGAAAAGATAAACATAAGCAGAGTCAACATTTCAAAAGTTCACAAAAGAGAAGATACATGGTCAGTTTATATTCAAGCGACAGATAATCACAGTCTTTTCTTTATTAAAGGCCTTCTCAAAAGGTACAGACCCTTTAATAGTAAGCAGACTCTTTGCCAGTATTTCTCACTACTTCTGAAGTTCCATTCCAATCATATTCTACTATATTTGCAAACTGGAAGAAAAAAAAAATTGCCAGTTCTGCATGAAGATGGCATAGATGATAAGCAAAGCCTAGAATTAATTCACTCATATCAAACAGCAAAAATTCAGGGTGAGTTGCAAGAGACTCGATGGTACATAACAACAACATTTGGGGAAGGAAGTCTTAAAGCTATATCTTGAGATATAACTCAGCCAAAAGAACCAAGGGGCCAAATTTTAAAGCACAGGGCGATGTGGACTCATGAGATTATAATTATTTAAAATATGTTTCCATAATCTAGATTTAGTTATATTACTCATTTCTCACAGAAATGTCTACTCTAAGTATAACACTAGAGATTTGGAAATTAGAGAAGGGATTAATTGCAGTTATTTGGTTCCTTAGTAATTCTTTTGCATTTCTGACCTAAAATATTCAGCATGAAAACCACTTAGATAAAACCTCAGGCAATCACATGTATCAAGTAGTGTAAGAAATTTTTTTAAAGTGGTTAGCTACCTAAATTGTTTCTATTCAAAAAGGTCTGATCAGATTCACACCTAGCAACATTAAAATAGTGGAAAAAGCAAGAAAAAATAAAATCTTCCTAGTTATAAGCATAAAATATACTATCAACTTCCTTGGGTACAGTCACCCAGTTATCATCACAACATTAAAAACAACATGGTATTTTACTTACATGGGAAATCAAGCAAAAAATGGAAAATATTACATAATAGTTAAAGACTTAAACTATGGAGCTCAAACAGAGTCCTATGACTCTACCAGTCACTAGCTGAGTAGTACTGAGTATATAATTTATTATTTCAGAACCAATTTGGTTATCTATAAAATGTGTGAAACAATAATCATCCTATAAAGTTAAGAATTTAAAAAAACCCCAAAATATAGATTACCTTAGTGCCTGGATCTAAGTCAGTGTTCATAAAATGTTAGCATCATTTGTTATATTTATATTTTGAAAATTACACATATTTATTAATAGAGAAAACTGGGAGAAAGATGAGCAATCTTCTCCTATGCAATTTATAATATGTGGAACCCAGTGGAGTCAGCTTTGTATTGGTTTTGACTTGATGGTAATGACTTAGGTGTTTGTTTTAACATAGAATAAAAGTCAAGTTTAAGGACTAAAATAAAGACCTCCAGCAATGGCTTCTGGAGCTTTCCCCCCTGGTCCTAGCCATCAGTAAGCAAAACTGATGGAATCTCTGTTTCATCCTTATAGTTCAGTTAGAGCAAAGAAAAGACTCTTTGAAATCCCCAAAGAAATCATACAGTTGCTACCTCAATATGAACTGTAGCTTTGATAGCCATGTCTAAGAACAAATATAATAACTGTGATAGAACACAAGACTAGGGACAAACTCAAGTGGAGGAAATCTGGACAGATGGTTAATGCTATACATTTTTCATCTTTCTTGGACTTATTAAAAAAAGACCAGTCAGTACAGTAAGTTTGTTTTCACTGTGTTTGACCTGGCAGGAAAATGAGAATTTATTTTTTTTCCCAGAGGACTGACTCTTCTTTTTCACCTGTAGTCACCAAGACAATGAGCAGTCTTGCTATGGACCACCCGTTGTTACTTCCTCCCCTGGTGTCCATAAACTAAAGCGGTTCCTAGGCACTACCTTGTTGGCTGAGGGATGTGGGAAAGAACGCCCCCTTGTGACGGGAGAAAGTCTGAGGGCTGCGCCGACGGTGTTGTTGACTGCTGCTGCTGCTGCATGCGATCCTGCAGGCTCCGTGCTTTTCGAATACTGATTTGCAACTTCTTATCGACTAGGGCTCTGCTGTGCGTACTACAGCTGGCACCATGCAGGGCAAGTCTTAGTTTAGCTAAAATGCAAAAGAAAATATAGCAGAAACAACCCAAAACACAAACAAACATAAAATAAGAATAAAATTGAACAAAAAAATGAGCAAAGATATGCATTAAAACTCAAAATATGCAGCAGGAATGCAAGGCACAGACCCATGCATATGTTGTTCAGGGCAAAGGTGGCTTTGGCCATAAGGGATATTCATGGAAGCCATAGAGCCAAACCAGTTAATGAAAATAAAAAAACAAAAACAAACCAAAACCCAAATAACCAAACAAACCAACAAAATAAAACTAAAATGAATTAAGGAAGCTGGTGTTTCCATCTTGTAGGTTACATATCTCCAGTCCTCTGCAACAGGACTGTCTGATTCTAATCTTTACACTCTGCTTCCAACTACCCTGTCTAGTGGTCATAATAGTAATAAGATCCAAGCTTGGGGGGGTGAAGAGGTGGAAATCCAAGCTTGCATCTGTCATTATAGGATAGCTTCACTTCTTATGGGTCATATTTAGGAATCAGATGCCAGTTCTAAGTCTTAGTCCCATGCTGTATGCAACCTTTTGAGATTGTTAAATAGGAAGATGAGGAAAGGGACTCAAATACTGTAACAAAAGTTACATGCATGGGAAGTCACAGCTAGTTTATTCCTTTATTACTGCCACAACTCTACCTCACTAACTTCACATCTGAGGATTAACATTATTTTGGGACAAGAAGGTGGGCATGGTTGGAGTAGTCTGTGGACATCTGCTGAGGTTATTCCAGTAAGTACCCATGGCCTACGGTGACAGGCTCTGGCACAGTCAGAAATGTGGAAGGCCAGGATAGCTAAAGGGTCTCAGTCTGGGAGAATGGGAGTGAGGAGACATAAAAGCTGGTTTTACCCCATCTGAGTGATGACACACCTGTTGTGAAATTAGTCGGAAGTGCTGTAGCCATAGCAGTTAGAGTTACTTACAGATAGCGTCGTTACAGAGAGCCAAAGCTGCAGTACAGTCTCCCTTCTGTTCCAGACGCAGTGACTCTTCAAACACTGAATCTGCCTCTTGCAGCGACCTCTCAAAGCCGTCACTCCTGCCTGAAAGGGCCAGGACTATTCATTTTCATTAAAGTTCTTTGCAATTTTTCCTATGTACTGTTTCCCTTCAGTATGCATACATCCTTGCTACTGAGTCTCTGTTCTATGTATATCCTGTGTTGCTATTAAGAATTCTCAAAAAAAAAAAAAAAGAATTCTCTAAAACAGGCAGGAGATCCATTTTCTCTTTAACACATTCAAGGCTAAGGTACAGGGGCAGGTAAATATTACCATATATTCCAACTCCAAGACCTCTTAGGGTGTCTCTCAAGGAGAGAACAATAAAGTGTAAATACCTTCTGCCTGTAGCAGAGAGGAGATTCTTATGCCTGATAACTGAACTCTTCTACAACACAAGAATATAAATCTTGCCAAGTGGTATTAGAATTCTCCCAACTTTCACTGAGACTGCCACTGGTGTGTTATGGCAAAGGTGGCTTTACTGCTCAGGAAATTCACCATACCACTTTTTTTTACCAGCAGTCCATATTCCTCCTGAACACCATGAAACAGAAAATCAGTACAATTTTTAGGCACAGGCGATCTTTGGTTCACAAATGTAAATACTGACCAGGACAGCAGAACTGTCTTTGCTCATATGTATGCACCTACTTTGCATTAGCACTGTTTAAGTAATTACTTATGTCATCTCTTATTTACCCACTTATCCCCAAACTGTCACTTTTCCATTTAGTAAGTCTGCTGTTAGGGACCTCTCTAAAGTACTCAGGAGCAATGGTGTCTCTCTGGAGACTAAGGTGCGCCCGATACAGGCCATGGTCTTTGCAATCGCTTGTTATGCATCAGAGAGTTGGACAATGACTAGGGAGGACAAAAGGAGAGTGGATGCTTTTGAGCTGTGGTGCTGGAGAAGAGTACTGAATGTACCATGGACTGCCAGGAAAACAAACAGATTCATCTTGGAGAGGATTAAACCAAGCTACTCCTTGGAGGCAAGGATTCTGGGGCTTCATCTGACATACTTTGGACATGTTGCCAGGAGGGACGGGTCCTTGGAGAGGGACATCATGCTTAGGAGGGTGGAGGGACAGCGCAGGAGGGGAAGACCCTCTATGAGATGGACTGATTCGGTGACTGGGGTAATCGGGATGGGTGTGTCAGAGGCAATGCAGTTGGCACAGGATAGAGCAGGGTTTAGGGCGGTTGTGCATAGGGTCGCTGTGAGTTGCAAACGACTCGACGGCACATAACAACAACAACAATCATAAAATATAGCCACGACAGTCCCCTAAAATATTCCTTTCTCCCTTAAAGTAAAATGTGTCAAGGCAGGGAGAAGAAAGTACAATGCAAGATAAAAATACTGGAAAATACTATGAGGACAACTTCTGTGGAAACATTCCCTGCACTCTTGTTCTCTACTCACTCAGAATCAGAAATTGGCAGCAAGCTCTACTGTAAGTTCATCTACAATTGGGATTGATGATGGTTTTCACAAGGTCTTAAAGAAAAATAAAACTGCCTACGTGATTTCTCTCATAATTTCCTCTATCCTCTACTTACCTTTGATGGGAAATGGTAAGAAAAGCTCTTCCACACACCTAAAACTCCCTCCTTAATTCACCATGGCTTATAAAATCAGATTCAACTTGATGGAAATACATTTTTGGAGCATTATAGGAAGACAGTAGTAATAGCAGGTCGATTCTGAATAACTTGGTCTTCAGGTTCCACTCTACTTCCAAATGTGTGCTTCCCCAGTTCTCTAGGCCTGAAGTTGTCTCAAAAAATTTAGAATCAACTGAATCTATACATCCCTAAAAAGTTTCTAAAAGACAATTGTGTACAAAGGTAGACAAACTACAGTTGAATTATCATTAAACTAGATTTCAGTTTCATCCTAAAGAATCTTAATATTCCATTCCCTGCTCTTCTTAAAAAAAAGACTAAAAGTGTAAGAGAAAAACTGTCCTAATCCTACAAAGCTTAAGAAACTTCTCTGTTAATCAAACAATGGACATGGTCAACAGAAGCAACTACCCCATATACCACTGACTCTTATTTTTAGCTCAGTTTGTTTCATCTGGGGATTTTGTATAATAAGAATGTGAAATTAAATTGATGAAAAGAAAAACAGAGATACAGGTTTCAAGATCTCATTAAAGATAGGTACTTCAGGTTTACTGGACTTCTTATTCTGTGCCTTCGGGCACAAAATGACATTCTAAAGAAATTCCTGGAAGAAAAAGTGTCTAAACCAAAGCCCAGCACTATTGAGCTGATTCTGACTCATAGAGACCTTACAGGACAAAGTGGAACTCATTGCCTGTAGGGCTTCCAAGACTGTAAATCTTCATGCTGCCACAGCTTTGCCCTGCAGAGTGGCTTGTGGGTTAAAACTATGAACTTTTTGGTTAGCAGACCAACATTGTAACTACTGCACCACCAGCCATGCCCATGCAAATCTTGAGACCGGAGGACAAATCATCCCAGGCACAAAGAAGCCACATACTGTGCTCCAGCTTGACTGATCCACTTCCCAGAAGCCTCACATGGAAATTCTCAAGTGTATGTTTCCACCCGCAAGTAGAATAACTGTCACTCTCAGTGTGGTTTCTTGCTCTTTTCTGCTGCTTGAGTTGTAATTAGTTTTATTTACAGTTCCTATAGGGAGCTCTGGTGATACAGTGTTAAGGAGCTGTGTTGTCAATACAAAGGCAGGTGGTTTGAATCTACCAGGTGCCTCTCAGAAAAAAAAAGATGACCAATCCCCTCCCATGCAATTTAGAACCTCTGAAAATCCACTGGAGGTTTGATTATGAATCAAGTATCAGCTCTGACTTGATGCTACATAACAGATATTCATGGAAAATATTTTATAAAAATATATACTTTATCTCTAAACTATAGGTTTCTAATAAGTGTATATTAAATTAGTGTCTATTTTAACCAAGAGGATTTTTCTGTCATATCCTTTTTTAACTGAAATATCTTAATGACGATAAAGAGAAGGGAACTTACAACTTAGATTTTTACCTTTCTTTCTGCCCCGTCACCTACAACCCTGATGCTCACAATAATTACCCTGATTCTGCAATTCATCCAAGTCCATAAACCGGCTGGGATGAGGGTTAAAGCCTTTAGCTGCCTCTAATTCCTTCTCTCGTTTCCTTCGCAGTTCCTGTTCCTGGGCTCTCCTGGCCACTTCTTCTTGTAATTCATCCAGTTCACTTTTGGAAGATATCTCTTCACCTGGAATATAACCAAAGGAAAATGTAAGGTGCCACATTTCCTTAACCAAACTACTATCTCCTGCGGTCACTGCACTGCTTTTCCTTTGGGATTCTTATGCTGGAATTTGGAATGAATGTTTTGCATAGGACTTTCCAGATGACATGCAGGATTGGATCCAGGCAGTGAACAATTAATACCTATCAAGTACTTCATAACAACAATGACAACTAACATTTGTTGAGCACTTGATATATGTCAGGAACAATTTTTTTTTGTTTTGTTTTGTTTTAATGTGTGTACCGTCAAATCATATCTGACTGGTACAGGAGGAAATTGTCCCTCCTTCTTCAGCAGAGCATCTGGTGGATTCGAACCTCACATGTCTGGGACTGCAGTGCAGTTTCTTGCCACTAGGCCACCAGAGCTTGCCTGTTTTGTTATTTTTTAAAAAATTAATTCTTCTAAATTATGCAGATGACACAACCCTGCTTGCTGAAACTGAGGAGGACCTCATGCACTTATTGCAGAGGGTCAAGGACTGCAGCCTTCAGTATGGACTGAGGCTCAATGTCAAGAAGACAAAGATTCTCACCACTGGACCAACAGGTAGCATCAGGATGGATGGCGAAGAGATTGAGAGTGTTCACAGCTTCAGTTTGCTTGGCTCTACGGTCAACACTCTTGGCATCAGCAGCCAGGAAATCAAAAAACGTATTGCAATGGGAAAGTCTGCTATTAGGGACCTCTCTAAAGTACTCAGGAGCATTGGTGTCTCTTTGGAGACTAAGGTGTGCCTGATACAGGCCATGGTCTTTGCAATCACTTGTTATGCATCAGAGAGTTGGAAAATGACTAGGGAGGATAGAAGGAGAATTGACGCCTTTGAGCTGTGGTGCTGGAGAAGAGTACTGAATGTTCCATGGACTTCAAAGAAAACAAACAGATTCACCCTAGAGAGGGTTAAACCAGGCTACTCCTTGGAGGCAAGGATTCTGGGGCTTTGTCTGACATACTTTGGACATGTTGTAAGGAGAGACAGGTCCTTGGAGAGGGACATCATGCTTCATAGGGTGGAGGGACAGCACAGGAGGGGAAGACCCTCTATGAGGTAGTAGACTGATTCAGTGACTGGGGTAATCGGGATGGGTGTGTCAGAGGCAATGCGGTTGGCACAAGATAGAGCAGGGTTTAGGGCTGTTATACATAGGGTCGCTATGAGTTGCAAACAACTCAATGGCACACAACAACAACAAAGTTTTTATTAAGTTGTTGTTGTGTTGTGTACCATAGAGTTGGAACTGAACCATAGCTGACCCTCCAGCAGGTTTTCAGAGGCAGTTAATCGCACAGGAGGAGACTGCCCATCCTTCTCCTGTGGAGCAACTGGTGGCCTTTAACAGCATGCCTCTGAGATTGTAGTGTAGATGTCCTTCTCCAAGGACTGGTCTCTCCTGGCCATGTGCCCAAAGTATGTGAGATGGAGCTTCAAAATCCTAGCCTCCAAGGAGAAATTTGGGTTTACCCTCTTCTCCAAAACAGACCTATTTGTTTTCTTGGGGTCCATGGTATGCTCAAGACTCTTCTCCAACACCACAACTCAAAGGCATCAATTCTTCTTCAATCATCCTTAGTCATTATCTAGCTCTCTGATGCATAGCAAGCAATTGTGAAGATCATGTAAGAGTGGAGCTCAATTAAAGTCAAATGGGTTAAATTAATAATTCATGCTCTTAACCATTAGTAAGTATTTTCTACTAGGTACTGCTACTGATTCACTTGGGAGCTTTGAGTAATTAATTTTCTTATTTTTTAACTTAATTGCCAATACTTCTATAATGAGCTCACAAAATGTCCACAGTAAAAATTGCACAAGTTGTGCATAGGTGGACTTAGACAGATCTAGAAGTACATTTGTTATTATTAAGTTTTCAAACAATAGAATAGTACGACTTTTTTTACTTAAAAAATGGTAGTGACCCATTTAGACAGATGTATATAAAATCATGTATGTAGGGGCCTTCGGGGTCACTGCAGGAACAAGATGGCTGGGCAAAAACTTATTCTGAAAGCCATTTGGATAGCTTTTGGGGAGATGCTACCCCAAAACCAGAAGGCAGCTGCAAAGCCCCTGAAATCGTGGAATGAGGTTCTCACCTCCAGGTTGGCTGCACCACTGGGGCACTGCTAGCTATTGACTGGGCTTACTACGGGACCAACGTGGCCAAGGCTGACTCAGTAGATGACTTTGAGAAGTTTAATGCCCTGAAAGTTCCTGTGGCGCAGGATAAGGATATGGGCCTGGTAGATGCTGAAGAAAAAGAAGATGTGAAGAGGTGCATCAAGTTTATGTCCCTTTCAAAGACCAGGATTGAGGAATATGAGAGACAGCTGGAAGAGATGAGGAACATTATTCCATTTGAGCAGATAACCATTGAGGACTTGAATGAAGCCTTCCTGAAAACCAAGTTAGACAAGACCAAGTATCCCTATCGGCCTCACTAGCCAAATGAAAATTTATGAAACTGAGTCTGAGGGGGAACAATGGCCCTGCTATGGCAAACTCGGAACATTAAAAACAAGAGTAACTGGGGGGAAAATATGTATGCACTTGTATTAGCATAGAACAATATATAAAATGATACATACTATAATGATAATATTGGTTACTTCAGTTTGAGGCGGCAAAAGACAGTCTATTGATATTTATAGAGTATAGGTCTATTGTCTAACTTCTTTGAAAATATTGATCAAAGTTGCAGATAAAATGCTGGCTCTGTATGAGAATAAAACAATTGAATAAAATTTTTATCATAGAGTAGACCATCAAGATGATGTTAAGATGGTAGAAGCTGGGATGTGAGAAGTTTTGTCAAAACTTCTTCCTAAATATCTTTTACCAATTAAGGACTCCCACTGGTAGATTCTGTCTATACAGTCCAGAATTGAGGAGCCATTGTAATGCAATTATTAATTGTTCAGCTGCAAACTGAAAGATTAGTGGTTTGAACCCATCAGCCACTTCACAGGAGGATTATGTGTCAGCTTGCTTCTATAAAAACCCTCTGGGGCAGTTCAACTCTGTCCTGTAGGGTTGCTAGGAGTCAGAATCAACTTGACAGCAATGGGAGAGCAGAGCTGAGTACTGTTAGAGACTCATGAGACTGAGCAATAGTCTGCTGAAAAGGTAACAACTATCTGAAGAAAACCCCCAAGCCAAACCCATCACCACTAAGTCAATTCAGAATCACAGTGATCCTTTGGAAGAGTAGAACCTATTAGGGCTTCCAAGGCTACAATCTTTACAGAAGCAGCCTACCCCATCTTTCTTCTCCAGATTGGCTGGTGAATTTGAACTGTCAACGTTTTGGTTAGCAACCCAATACTTACTTAATCCACTATTCCAACAGCACTCTTATATCTGAAAAGGATAATCTCATGCATGATTACAAATGCCTTACAGCATTATTCCTAAATACGAAATAAATTATTCCTGAACAATACATTATTCCTGAACATGAAATAAAATGTGACAAACAAACAAAATGGATAATTTCAATAACAAGAATGGATTTTTCATGGCTATAATAAGGGTCGCTATGAATCGCAGGTGACTTGACGGCACATAACAACAACAACAACATAATAACCTACTCGAGTGGAGGATTCTAGAATAACTACTTCTATGGACATTGTTCTGCTCTGTCATATGTAAACTCAATTGCATTCATACCTAAAAGAATTCAAACTATTTTATCATTGCTGCTGTGTACTTCCATTCTGCTCATTTTAGTGAACTTCTCATGTCTATAAAGAGAAGTGATCAAACTAGTAATGTTTCTAGTTGCACACTGTATTCTATCTTCCAATCTCAAGTACGCCGGTGGTATATGTCATCACAGATCTATAGCCAGAAGCTCATTAAGTCAGATTGTAGGAAGGCTTCTACTCTCACATCCTACTGCCATTTTACCTAAAAGATGAGAGATTATGAAACTGTGATACATCTTTCAGAGATAGTTGAGATAACTAGCTCCCAGGACGCCAAATAATATTAGATACACCTTCTTTGAGACATCTCACAAAAAGAAACTTCATTTTGGGAAACCTATATAGTTGTTACCTCAATTTTCAGCTCTGAATTTATTTTTGAACACTAGGAGCTAAGTCTCTAGTTAAGCAGAATATGCATTGTAGGTTTCTGCTTTGTGAGAGGTCTATAAAAAAGATCTAACTGCTATCACCATCTCAAATTTCTACCCCTGGTATCTCATGTCAGAAATGCCATTACTTTTTCCCCTCCAATCTCTCAGTTCTCTTTTTTCATAAATTTTATTTTTCAGAACATAGCAAAACATATACCAACTGTATCTACATGTACAACTTAGTGGTTATATTCTGAGCCAAGTAACCATTCTCTCTCTTCTGAGTTGTTCCTCTCTCATTAACATAAACTTTCTTCATCCCTAAGATTTCTAGCTAATCTCTTATGTTGTTGCTGTCATTTTTATCTCTTATAGATAGCTCTTAAAAGAACCTAGTGTTCAAGGCGGGACATTTGTATTAGTTAAACTAAACTACTGTTTAGTTTTTTAGATAACTTAAGGAAATATTTGTTTCAGAATGATCTCAGGGCCATCGTTTAAGGGCTTCACCAACCCTCCAGGGCTCCAGAGGGTATATAATCCATGGGAATTTGAAATTTTGTTCCACATTCCTCTTGATCAAAGATTCAAAAGATCAAAATGTGCAATAATGGTAGCTCGGCATGATGCAATTATTATAATCTCATGGCAAACAACATAGTTGTTCTTAGAGGAAATCAGCCACACATTCCACATCTTCTTCCTATTCTTGACTCCTTCTTCCCTTGTTGCTTCAGATGAACAGAGACTAATTACTGTGTTTTGGATGGCTGATGGTGAGAAAGTGGCTAAGTACTTAGTTTATAACTGAAAGCTTGGAGATTTGAGGGAAAGATGTGGTAGGCTACTCCTGTAAATATTTATAACCTCAGAAGCCCTACAGGGCAGTTCTACTCTGTCCTACAGGGTCTCATTAAGTGGAGATTGACTTAATGGCAGTTGAAGGTGGCTAGCTTAGATTTAAAAAGAAAAACTAAATGTTGGCAAGATGTGGGGAAATTGGTACCAGTTTTAGTTTGCACATTTAGGCTTAATCCATTATGAAGTTAGTTTTGTGTATGGTGTAAGTTATGATCTTGTTTCTTTTTTGTGCATATGGAAATCCTAAGTTATTTTTTTAGACAAAAGGTTTTTAAAATGCTCCTTTTCCTTTGACAAATCATACTTGAAATTTTTTTCAATCACATTTAGTGTAAAGGAGTCAGAGCATTACTTGAGAGCATATTCTGAGAAGTATGAGGATGGAAGGGACACTTAGAAAGGGAAAACAAACCAGAACTAGAGACATCATCAAGTAGGACATAAAAGGCAGGGATGGGGGAAGTTTGACGTGCTTGTTTCCTTTTTTATTTGCCCACAGACTACATGTCCTTCATAATAAATAATAAGAAAGCCAATTCCCAAAATCTGCTTCTATACCAAGGATGGCCCAAGAGTTATTCCTTTAAGGAATGTAGTTTTTGTCGATATTGTTCATTATAGTTTGGCCCTTCTTATTCCTGTTCAGGCAAACTTTGATGGAGAATAAAAACCAGTTAAATCCAAACATGGAACAGCTCAAATCCTTCTGAAGTTACATTTTTACTGACTATTCACTCAATTTCAAAAGCTTCCTCCCCAAATAAAATTGGTGGTCGAATTCAATCCATCAAATCCAGTGTCCTTTCACTTACCTGAGGTAGGTTGACTCTTTGTCCAGCTACTCATGGATGCTGTGGAGTCCACCTCCAGGATGCTACTGCTGTGAGACTTTGGGATGTGATGCCAGGCAGGGAACAACCCAGTTGATCTCTTAGCATTTGAATCCCTATAAAAGAAAGTCCAAAGTCTAGTGAAATCATCAAAAGGATGAAAACTAGCAAATTCCTAAGACTAAATTCTCTCAGTAAAAACAACAAAACACAGACCTAATATAATGAAAGAGAAGTAATTTCTACTAAATTACTTCTGAAAGACAGAAATACTTACTCGTGTCCATTTTTTTATCATACTTTGTTTACATTTTCTGTCTCTACAACAGTGCTTGGTACAAAGTAGACATTAAAAAGATATTGAATTAATGAATACAAGCTCATATATTGACTGCCTTCTTTTTTTAAAAAAATTTATATATTTTTTAAATGTTATTAATTTTTTTAAAAAATTTTATTATTTTTCTGTGAGTGTACCATCAAATCAGATCTGACTGGCACAGGAGGAGATTGTCCCTCCTTCCCCGGCAGAGCATCTGGTGGATTCGAACCGTGTGCTTCTGGGATTGTAGTTGCAGCTCCTTGCCACTAGGCCACCAGAGCTCCCCTAAATGTTATTAATTTTAATGAACATATTTTATTATTTTTGTGTGTGTGTACCATCAAATCATATCTGACTGGTACAGGAGGAGATTGTTCCTCCTTCTACAGCAAAGCATCTGGTGGATTTGAACCACGCACCTCTGGGATGGACTGCCTTCTTTCTTATACCTTTATGACACTTTTTCATGAGTAAACATGGACAGGATCTTGTGGTCAGAAAAGAGCAATGGGGAGTAAGAGGCTGGGGTTATCACTCTTTGAACTGACTTATTAGCTCATGAAAGTCTGAGTATCACTGGCTTTATAAAATACAGGATCCCAATGGTTCTTAAAAAGCAAAAAATAACAAAAAAGCCAAATAAAACTCTCCAAAACAATGCTATTCCAAAATGAAGGTAAAATAAAAAGAAATTTTATTTCCTGATCTCAGGATCATGTAAATTTTGATTCACTAATTCATTCTTCCTTTAAAAGTTATTTACTAAGTAGTATCTCGGCACCAGCAGCCAGGAAATTAGAAGACGTAGTGCCATGGCAAAGTCTGCTGTTAGGGACCTCTCCAAAGTACTGAAGAGCAATGGTGTCTCTTTGGAGATGAAGGTGCATCTGATACAGGCTATGGTCTTTGCTATCACTTGTTAAGCATCAGAGAGTTGGACAATGACTAAAGAGGATACAAGGAGAATTGATGCCTTTGAGCTGTGGTGCTGGATAAGAGTATTGAGGATACCATGGACTGCTAGGAAAACAAACAGATTTGTCCTGGAGAGGGTTAAACCGGGTGGCT